ACAACTATTACCATGACCGTATTGTAAAGTTTTTGGTTGGGATGCTGTGCAGTTAAAGTTGGAACAATTTTTCAGAGACCTTTTTTTTTAAAAAGGTTTCAAGATCTAGGTTGAACATGAGTCATCATGTGTTTGGAATAATATTTATCCGAGACACACCCTTGGAACATCAAGTTACATTTGCTAGGGAATCTAAGTTGGCAACACTCTTGTCATCCCAATTACATCAGGCTCAACGTGGCACAAGCAACTCAATACAGTTATGTGGATGATTTAACAAACAATTGATGGGTCAATGCCAGTGACTGTGGCCAAATGCCGGGCTCCATCCCAAAGATGTTTTCCGGCTCAGCGCTGGAAGTAAGGAAAATAAAAACCTAACCTGCCTTCAGGTTAAACAGAGCTCAAAAAACTCGTCCATGACCCTGGATCGTCCCTGTGGAACTAGCCATTTTTTTTTAGAAGCACTGGGTAAATCCCCACTAAAAGCCTCAGCTGAGAGGCTTGCATTCATCCAAGACCGCAGTGTTCAGATGATGCAGTGTTAATGCGGTAGTGGCCGATTTTTTTTTTTTTAATCATTTTCTGCATTGCATTCACACTTCTTCATCTGGTGTGTTATTGTGTACAGTTGCAATAATTTTCCCAATGGCTCAGTTGCAGCCTAGTTTCATGGAGAGGCAGATGGAGTTTAATTTAGATAAATGTGAGGTGTTGCATTTTGATAAGGTGAGTCAGGGCAGGACTTGCGTAGTTAATGGTAGCGTCCTGGGGAGTGTTGTCAAACCTAGAGACCTAGGGATGCAGGTTCATAATTCCTTGAAGGTGGAGTCACCAGTAGACAGGGTAGTGAGGAAGGCATTTGGTATGCTTGCCTTTATGCATTGAATATAGGAGTTGGCGGGTCATGTTGCGACTAGGACATTGGTCAGGCTACTTTTGGAATTCTGTACTCAGTTCTGGTCTCACTCCTATAAGAAAGATGTTGTTAAAGTGGAAAGTGTTCAGAAAATATTCACAAGGATGTTGCCAGGGTTGGAGGGTTTGAACGATAGGGAGAAGCTGAATCGGCTGAGGCTATTTTCCCTGGAGTGTCGGTGGCTGAGGGGTGACCTTTATAGAAGTTTACAAAATCATGAGGGGCATGGGTAGGGTGAATAGCCAACGTCTTTTTCACAGAGTATTGGAGTCCACAACTAGAGGGCATAGATTTAAGTTAAGATGGGAAAGATATAAAAGGGACCTAAAGGGCAACATTTTCACGGTGTGTGTATGGAATGAGCTGCCAGAGGAAGTGGTGTAGGCCGGTACAATTACAATATTAAAGGCACCTGGCTGGGTACATGAATAGGGAGGGTTTTAGAAGGATATAGGCCAAATGTTGAGAAATAATTTAGAATACCTGATTGGCGTGGACAAGTTGGGCCAAAGGGTCTGTTTCCATGCAGTATATCTCTGACTGTATGAATAACCTCCATGTGTCTAATAGTTTATTGCACCCTACTGAGGTCTTCCTCGATTCATGAAATGCCTATTGAAAGGCAGGTATATACAGTAAAGGGTGCAGTCACTTGTCACATGGTAAACCCTCACAAGCAGTTATACAGAAGTAAAATACTATGATGCTGGAAATAGAAATAAAATGCTGAAAATGCTCAGCAGGTCAGGCAGCATGTGTAAAGAGAAACATTTAAGCTTTCAGATTACTAACTTTTCGATGAAGCCAACAATACAGGGCTACTCTCTCATTAGGGAGAGACAAGTGGTATTGAGTTTAATCTGAAGGTCACCACACCTCAGTTGAGGGGAAGGTTGAGAAGTTGGGATCTTCATGGTAACCTCAGCTGGTGCAGGAATCGAACCCATGCTGTTGGTGTTTGCACAGCATCGCAAGCCAACTGATCTAATCAACTGCTCTGAGGAAGGGTCACTGGATCCTGAAACGTTAACTCTGATTTTTTTCTTCACAGATGCTGCCAGACCTGCTGAGCTTTTCTGGCAACTTCGGTTTTTGTTCCTGATTCACAGCATTCGCAGTTCTTTTGTTGTTTTTTGATCTAATCAACCCCCCAGTTTGTCTGTAGAATCAATCCTTCTGCTGAAAGGACATCAACCTAAAATGTTAAGCCTATTTCTTTTTTGGCCAGGATACTGCCTAACCCACAAATGTCAAATCTGCTTTGCACCATGTTGATTATGAGTTGAAGTGAACAGTGTCTCAATCTGACATCTTGTCTGCACCAGCAACATGAATGGGATGTAATGTTGAGCCAACATCTAAGGTGTGAAATGTCAAGTTTGATGATTGAGTCCGTAACCTCTAGGTCCTTCTGAGGAGCTACTTGTCTTATTTAAATACAGAAGTAACAGATCTGTTGTCAGTAGTCGTTTAGCAGCCGTTGTGAAAACATTAAGTCCCTGTTATGAATATAAAAACACAAAATACAAATCGCTCATTGGATCTTTCTGGACCTTGAAATATTATTTGTTCACAAGGTTACCTTCACAGACCTTGACCTTCTGCAATGCCAACTCTGATACGTGATTTAATCCCTTAATTCCTCTGGTCGCTTCTTGGATGTGTTTTAATTTGAGTCCAGAAATATTTGGGAGCCTTACGGATACTGATACTTACAAGACAAATGAAATCACTGATAGCATGTTTTGTTAAAACTTGGCAAGAAATGGGAGCAGCAATGAGTGCTGAAAGCTAATTTTCACTAGTTTTTTTTTGGTGGGTGCATGGTGGGGGAGGGAGGTCTTGCTTTCATCCTCTGGTTAGCTTTCATCACAAATTTCTTCAAAAAATAAATAAAGCAGTGGTCGGGTAGTATCTGTCAACACTTTGTGTCAATAGTTTAGACTAGGCTTGTAATAGTAGTTGCCAAAGGGCTGATCTCTCATTAGAAAGAGATTACTGGTAGTGAGTTTAATCTGAGAGTCACCATACCTCAGACCAGGAGCAAGATTGAGAAGGCAAGACTTTCATGGTGATCTCAGTCAGCATGGGAATTGAACCCATGCATGTAATTTTGCATTCCTAACCAGATGTCCAGCCAACTGACCTCCCTCTAGGCTTGTTTTCCCATGAGGAAGAGTAAGAACTGCCGATGCTGGAGTCAGAGATAACACGGTGTGGAGCTGGAGGAACACAGCAGACCAAGCAGCATCAGAGGAATAGGAAAGTTGACGTTTCAGGTTGGGACCCTTCAAGGGTCAACTTTCCTGTTCCTCTGATGCTGCCTGGCCTGCTGTGTTCCTCCAGTTCCCCACTGTTGTCTCTTGTATTCCCATGAGTATGCAGTGGGCTTGTGGTTCGCTCAAACCATCAATAAAAGACGAGGTAGACAGATGGTAAACAGTGAATTTTTTTTGTGGGTCCCCTCAATTAGACAGTCAATCCTAGACTGCCCCTCTAGCTCCTGCCTCTAGGTGACCTGGTCCACTCTCTTAAAGGAGCAACATCATACAACTGTGCACATAACAGCGTGGAAACTTGGTGTTTACAAGGCATAAAGGATTTTACAAAGTAGGTAGACAGAAACTATTTCCTTAGCTGCCTGAGACTGGAAGAAGGAGGCTGACTCATAAAATTGGAATTAGGCCATTCAGGGATGATATCAAGCATTATTTCTGTGCACAAAGGTTAGTGGAAATCTGGAACTCTCTTCCCTAAATGTGGTCCAGGCTGGCAGGAGTGTTGGTTGAAAATTTCAAAGCATAAATCCACTACTTTTTGTTGCGTGAGGACCTTTCAGTTTTGAGAGCAAGGTAGGTAAATGGAGTTGCATTGCAGAGCTGAATTAAATAGCAGAATCAGACTTATGAAGCTGAATGACCTCCTCCAATTTCAATGAAAATTTTTGGGTATTTTGCTTCACGGAAATCACTGTTTCATGAGAAAGGGTTAGACTAAAATGTCAATGATTATATAAAAAGAAGCGTTAACTAGAACTCGAATAATACCACTAGCAAATGATCCTGCTGCGCTGTGCAGCATAGCAAGGTTGCAACAAGAGTTGCTGGTCAGTCCTGTGTCAATTTAGCTTAGTACAGCTGGCAACTTCTTAGATGAAAAGGCAGATACGATTTCTGCTCCGACAGGGAAACTGAGGCCTCTGCTGGCAGGCACACTGCAACGGGATTACACTAAGCTCTGGGGAGTTCATAATTTGATAGCAGCTGGAATTCACCATCTGAGCTCCCGCATAAATAACGGCAACTTTAAACAAACCACCAGGATGTATGCTCTACTTCAAGGGGCAGGAAGACAAGGAGGCACCTCAGACGGACTGAGGGCAGAATGTTCACGCACACTAGTTTCTCAATGTTTAGCTCAGTTGCAAATGATGTTTCATTGCAGTTGGACAGTCCAAAGGAGATTTTTTTAAGAAAAAAAAATTATACTGTGAAATTCACAAGCCATAACCTTTCTGATATTTTCTAATCAGCCTGTTCAGAGATGGGATGAACTGAAGTTTCAGTGACAGTTAGAAATGCTTACTATAACTAATTTAGGGCAATAAAAGAATTAGGCTAAACTGACCAATAGCTTAAGATTAACAAGGGACGAGCCAGCTATTTTAATTTTAACTGTTGATCGGTCTGGTGTGTGAATGTGAAAAATGAACTATTTATAGTATCATAGAATCTCCACAATGTGGAAGCAGGTCAACCAGTCCATCAAGCCTACACTGATCCTCCAAAGAGAATCCCACCCCCTCATCCCCCTACGCTGTCCCTGCATTTAGAGTTATAGAGCCATAACGACCTCTGGAGCAGGTGGGACATGAACCTGGGCCTTTAGAGCACTGATTAAATGAAGTCACTCAAGTGGTTTCTCCCATTTCTTGCTTCATATGCAATTGATGTATCTTGACTGGTAAATATGAATTGTATCTTTTGATGTTAATCAACCCAATGAACAAATAGCTCTCTCTGTTTAAACCCACCCATTGATGCTGTCTGCCATTTTCTTGCCCCTCTCCTTTTCTCTCTAGGAGACCTGTAACCCTGCTGTATCTCACCAAGATGGCTATAACAATTTCAGCATTATGGTAACCCATCAACTGACATTCCCTTTCCTGCTTTCTCTCTCTATCTTTCTCTCTCTCTCACTCTCTCTCTCTGACTCTCTTTTTTTAATCCTTTCCTTAATGTTGCAAAGTTTTTTTTTTACTTCAAACCAAAAGCTGCATCAAAATAAGATATTTTCTTAAAAGCAGAATTTCTGCCAAAATTTAAAGAAAAGTTTTAGTTGTTTTTCCTTTTTTTCGACAATTGCTTCAAAGGACAAAATGATTTTGAGCAATGAAAGCTTTGTCTGCGTCATGTCTTTCTTCTTAGTTCGATGCCTGATGTGATTTGGTTAAGTGCAGAATTTGTGGGACTCTATTGTCAACAGAGTAAATCATGCTTGTTGTAGCTTATCCCTTAAAACTTCCATGATCCAGTGAATACTGTACACTACTAATGTTGGAAATCTAATTTACACCAGAAAAAAATGAACTATTTATTATGTTCAGGCCAAAAGTTTGGGAATAACATTAAAAGAATTTGCAGTAAACTTTGGTGTTAAATTACTGTGCTGTTCTTCGCCCAATTGTTTCCACATCGTTGGATGCTTTGTTGCTTAATGGGATGAACTGACATTTCACTGACAGTTTGACTAAGTACAATTGGGAATGCTTACTGTAACTAAATTTAGGACTAAATAAGGATTAGGCTAAACTGACCAATTAGTTTGAGTGACAAGGGGGGAAAGAGCTAGCTATCTCAATTTTAACTGCTGATCGTTCTGGCACGTGAATGTGAAAAATGAAATATTTATAGAATCAAACAATCCCTACAGTGTGGAAGCAGGCCATTCAGCCCATCAAGTCCACACCGACCCTTCAAATAGCATCCCAGCCAGACCGACCTGCCTACCCTTTTTATGCATTTAGAGTTATGGAGTAATACAGCATGGAAAAAGACGCTTCATTCCAAATAGGCACACCGACCATGTTCCTGGACTAAACAGGTCCCACTTACCTGCGTTTGGCACATATCCCTCCAAACCTTTCCTATTAGTGTACTTATCCAAATGTCTTTTTAAACATTGTAACTGTACCTGCATCCACCACTTCCTCTGGCATTCCACATACGAACCACTCTGTAAAAACAAAAAGTCCTTTTTAAAACTTTCTCCTTTCACCTTGAAAACATGCCCCCTAGTTTTGAACTCCCCCACCATAGGGGAAAGACCCTCGCTATTCACCTTATCTATGCCCCTCATGATTTTATAAACCTCTACAAGGTCACCCCTCAACCTCCTTCCCATGGCTAATCCAACTAGCCTGCACATCCCTGGACACCCCATGGGCAATTTAGCACGGCCAATCCACCCTAACCTGCACATCTTTGTACTGTGGGAGGAAACCAGAGCACCTGGAGGAAACCCACTCAGACATGTGGACGATATACAAACTCAACACAGACAGTCGCCTAAGGGTGGAATTGAATGCAAGTCCCTGGTGCTGTGAGGCAGCAGTGCTAACCACTGAGCCACCGTGCCACCCATCATTGATCTTGGTCACAATGTTCCATTCCTATTGAAATAATGAGCTGGCATCCATTGAGATCGAATTTGATTTAGTGGTACAGTGTTACATGGATGATGGCAACTGAGCAACTTGTTGACAATGGAAACAAAAAACAAGAAAATTATGAAATTATTCACCAACTCTGAACCACCTGTTTTCACAATTGCTGAACAACAAATTCTGCTCTACTACCGGGCTCCATACATGCAGGGGGCCTGAATCCATGGGACTATGCCCCAAAGTGCCTTCAGGATAGGGGAAGAAACTTCACCAGTTTCAGTTTTGAAAAGTTGCTTAATAAAATGTCCAAAATTGTCCCAGTTTGAGTGTTCTAGCAACTTGAGAATCTTGGCAATTTTTATAGCAATTACTGTCTAATCACAACTTTTGTAAATGCATGCAATTTCTTTACAAGTTGCATACTTAATCAAGCACACTGTATCATTTATACGCTGGTTAATTAGATGCATGCATACTAATAATTTCCATCCTGGCTGCTCACGCACAAGCTGTTCCCTGCCTGGTTGAAGCTTTAAGAATAAAGAAAGGCTGTTTTTGAGTGAAATATGGCTTGTCAAAAAAAAAAAAAATTGCAGGTCAGAAACAGCAAAAACGCTTGGCCATGGAGATGTTTGTTATCAGAGTGCTAACTTAGCTGCAGCTTTCTGTTTGAAGTTCTGGATAAGGTGTGATTGTCTGATCTGGCTGGCAATCGCAGGATGCAGCCGCTTGTTTTGTGCCGATAACTGATGAGCTGCACCGAGACACCCAAAATTGCAGATTCTATGCTGGGTACCCATTTCTCACCTCTTCATTGTGAAAAGTCTGTAGGTTAACTCTGCCCTTCTGTCAGTAGCTGCTGAGTGTCCTCCTGAATCTTTCTCACTCTGTTAGCTGGATGATGGTGTTGAAAAGACTGAGCTGATGACAACACACCAGTGTTGTAGGAAGCCCAGCCTGTCTGATTTGGTAAGTCCCAAATTAAGTTCTGTTGCCCCGTTTTTGCACTTGAATGGCCTGCTACCGCTCACCGGGGTCGATCTGAACTTTGTGCAATAGTGTAAAGCAAAAGACAGTGAACTTGACACCTGTTGACACCAATGGAAGGAAATTCAGTCAATCTCTCTGAAGTGCATTTTAACTTATTACATGAAGTTAAGATCTGCCCCACTATCAATGTTCACAGACACAAATTTATCACTAAGCTCAGCTTGTAAACATGGAGCTGTGTGCTTGAGTCGGGCAGTGTTTGCAGAAGAGGATGGGAAAAGAAGATTGATGGGGGACTTCTCATTGAAAAGCTGACCACTTAACTTGTATAAAAAAATCACTCCGCAAAATACGATGGATGCTGGAAATCTGGAAAAGAAGTGACAAAGTGTTAGAAATATCAAGAAAGTGAGGTAGCATCGGTAGAGAAAGAGTTGTCAATAGCTGTTTTCACTCCTGTGTGTAAATAACATATCTGAAAAACTAATGGATGATTTGAACCTAGATCCTGGAATGCTTTGAAAGAATCCATGGTAGGGTGAATTTATTTTCTTTAAACAACGTTGTGGATTGTTTTATTTGGAATACTGTTAATAGTTGCCGTAGACAGGTTCATCTGCTGTGATGCAGTTTGACCTAGAGCAGGTTGATGGATTAGCCTGAAGCCTCCCCAGTGAGGTGGAATTTCTGAATAAGAAGATGCCTTTTTCAGCTTTTCAGTTGCGAGAACATCAACGTGATGGTGAAAAACCTCAAGGTACTGCTACATATTTGTGATAATGCTGAATAAACACACCATAGCGGAGTTAGGACCAAGTGCCTGCTTCACTTGTTTTCAAAATATTGCCTGAAAGAAGGGATTCTGTCCATTCTTAAGCCCAAACTTAATGAAGCACTGGTTGGAATACTCCATTGCACATTGCCTTGCTGCTGATACAAGTTCATTGGTGCCTGCACACCAAGAAACCATGAGTGTGTAAAATGGAATTCTAGTTCTCTTCAAATAGAACCAACTTTTGATGCCTATTTTACATTGAGGTATTTCCAGTTCACCTGTTCCAAGAGCTGTACTGTCCAGTTTAACTCTAGCTGGGCAGAAGCACCATGGTAGAGGCTTCATTTCCAGGTATTCCTTGATGCTAAGCTGGACCCAAACCTCTGCCCCTGGTATATGGAAGTCTGCTTCTAAGTTTGTAGATAGATCCTCTGCCATGGCTGATGTGGAAAGAGTTGTCTTGCTGCCAAGAAATTAATGGAGATGAACACTTAATTTTTTGCCTCAGATTCCATCCTCCTTTAAAGTATTTAGTTCACTAAAATTCTGTATTGTATTCAGTTCAGTTCCTGTTTTATTTTATTCACCTGTGAGACATGTGCGTCACTGGCTGGGACAGCATTTATGGCCCTACCCTAGTTGCCCTTAAGAAGGTGGTGATGAGCTACCTTCTTGAACTGCTGTAGTTCACGTACTGTAGGTAGACCCAAAATACTGTCAGGAAGGGAATTTCAGGATCTTGAATCAGCGACAGTCACGATCGGCAATATGTTTCCAAATCAGGATAGTGAGTGGCTTGGAGGGGGACTTGTAGTTGGTGGTACTCTGCTGCCCTTGCCGTTCTAGATGGAAGTGGTCATGGGTTTGGAAGGTGCTGTCTGAGGATCTTTGGAGAATTTCTGCAGTGTGGTCAGTGGTCCTACAATGAGAGTTATGCTGCAGCTAAGAAAAACAAACAGAAAGTGCAAGAGCAACTAGGCTGATCTGGCAGAAACTGTGGAGTGAGAAACACCATTGAATATTTACAATCCAACAGAACTCCTTCAATTCTAAAGATGAGTTATGAAGAAGAGTCATACCAGACTCTCGACGTGTTTACACTGTTTCTCTCCCCATAGATGCTGCCAGACCTGCTGAGTTTCTCCAGCACTTCCATGCCAGCATCCACCCTATTTTGCTTTTATTTTACATCACGTGTCTCCTCAAACATTAATTTCACTGCCTAGAACATTCAGGGGTAGCTCCCCAGGAGCTTTCTGGAGTGTATTTCCCAGTCTACGGTGGGACTAACCCTATTGCAGTCCCATCATCCACTGTGTAACACAGCTGTGGACTTGGGAGAATCTCAGTCTGGATTCCCATTCTCTCCTGTGTTGGCTTCACTGGGTGCACAGTGATGGGAACTTCAATTAGGTTCCAAAGGATGAAAGTGAAACTTTGAACTAGAATAACGGCAGGATTAGTGTCTGTTATGTCAATTATATGATCATCAGTGTTCACTTCTCAGTTCGCGAAGGTGAAGAATAGCCACTCGGGCAGGAGACCTGCCAACATCTTGGCATGTTATCCCACATCTTTCCCTCACTCAATGGGGAAAATAAAAATGTAATATTAATGGGAATGTTGCATATCCTATAGACCCAACTTTGATATTCATCCTTCTGAGCCATCTAAATGAGATAACTGACTCACTTTGATGGGACAGTATGAGAAATGTTCTGTGGCTGGCAATTTTGAACAATAAGAATTATTGCATCTTTTTTGAGGTTAGTAATTGTTCACATTTTTTTTAAAGCTGTCATCATTAGCTAGTTTGTTTCATATAATGGTCTGCAGACCAGAGCAGAAGAGGAAGAACCTCAGCTGAAGGGATAGAGAGGAAAGTTTGCAGATAGCTGGCTATCCTGTTCCCCGGGGAGATGATGGAAAAATGATTAGTCCAACTTGGCTTAGACAATTTACTGTTAGTCATTGAAGTTTCTTTTTCATCAACCAAACAAAATAATAGATTGAAGTCTGGTGGTTACATAAAACTGGCCCAAGCACTGTGTCCTGAATCTCTTTCAGCACAGAAGGCAAACAAATCAGGCCATCTGTTCATCACTGAACCTTTTAAAATATTTGAGTTTTGTTAACAATCTTGCCAGATAAATGGGACAAAAGAATTGTCTTTTATTTCACATTTGGAACAGTTGTGACATTTTTCCACGTTATGCCACATGATGTTTCAGTCTGTTAACGCATGACCTTTCTTCAGGGGAAAAAAAAAGATTACTGAGAGCTAGCAGTCCAGAAAAACAAAAAACAAAATGATTAGGCTATTTACTCCCTGCTGTATGTTGCACTGCAGCCTGTTCTGTGTGAGGGGGGTGGTCAGCAGATGGCACAGCCCGTGATCTGATGAGGAGGACATCTTTAACCTTCTGATGTGGTTTCTTCCAGGCGCAGCCAGTCGAGCAGAGTGGTCTTTATGCCCAACAGGGTCGTACTGCCCAACTTCCGCAGTACCCGAGTATGCAGCAAACACAGGTAGGGACCAGAAACATAGTTGCCTCAGGAACATCAAAACCATCCATTTTCCACAAATCCACAAGGCCTGTCGCCTTTCATGTCGTCATTCCTCCTATCCGCAGGAGAATCCAACTGCCCCTCGAGTGGATTTAATATCCTCCCCTCACTTTAGAGTAAAACATGTTACCAGCATCCACTTTACAGCATCTCTTAGAGTAAGGACAGCAACCTAAATGTGGGGTGGCTCAGTGGTTAGCACTGCTGCCTCACAGCGCCAGGGACCTGGGTTCAATTCCACTCTCAGGCGACTGTCTGTGTGGAGTTTGCACATTCCCTCTGTGTCTGTGTGGGTTTCCTCCAGGTGCTCCAGTTTCCTCCCACAGTCCAAAGATGTGCAGGCTAGGTGGATTGGCCATGCTAATTTGCCCATATTAGGTGGGTTATAGGGGGCTGGGTCTGGGTGGGATGCTCCAAGTGTCGGTGTGGACTTGTTGGGCTGAAGGGCCTGTTTACACACTGTAGGGAATCTATGATTCTATGATTGTAAATGACGTGCCAGTATCAGATTTGCTTCAGAAGGGTTGGAGATCTTGTGTGTTTCAGAATGCGGTTCGATAAATGTACCTCCTTGTAGTATTGGTCAATGGAGACTTTTCAGGCCAGATGAAGGGTTGTAGTGGATTTGCCCAGTAATCAACATTGAGACATTTGCTTTTCAGATGTGTTTTAATGACCTAGACTTTGCATTGCAGGGGACAATTTCAAAGATTGCAGATGATACAAAAGTTGGAAGCATTATAAACCATGAAAACAGTTTAGATTTAAGAGGTTGGTGGAATGTGCAGATGGGTGGCAGATGAAGTTCATTGCAGAGTACTGTGAGGTGATAAATTTTTAAATTTGGACAGACAATATAAGACAAGGGATGCAATTCTAAAGGGAGTGCAGGAGCAGAGGGACCTGGGCTTGTATATGCACAGATTGTTGAAGAAAGCAGAACAATTGAAGAGTGCAGTTAATAAAGCATGTGGTTTCCTGGGCAGTATTAATGGGGACATAGAGTACAAGAGGAAGGGTAAACTTGTATAAGGCACTTGCTCATCCTTTGCTGGTGTATAGTGTATAGTTCTGGGTGCCACATTATGGAAAGTGTTTGAGTGCATTATTGGACAGCTCTTTCTCCGACACCATGAGCAGAATAGCCAACTATAGTGTGATATGGGTTATAATCATAAGACATAGGAGCAGAAATTAGGCCATTCAGCCCATTGAGTCTGCTCTGCCACTCGATCAAGGCTGATAAGTTTCTCAACCCTATTCTCCTGCTTTCTCCCTGTAACGCTTGATCCCCTTGACAGTCAAGAACTTATCTATCTCCATCTAAAATATACTCAATGACCTGGCCTCCACAGCCTTCTGTGGCAGTGAATTCCATAGATTCACCACTCTCTGGCTGAAGAAGTTTCTCCTTATCTCTGATCTAAAAGGTCTTCCCTTTACTGTAAGGCTGTGCTCTCTGGTCCTAGACTCTCCTACCAATGGAAGCATCTTCCCAACATCCACTCTGTCCAGGCCATTCTGTATTCTGTAAGTTTCAATTAGGTCCCCCCTCATCCTTCTAAAATCACACTTGTACTGCATAAAGTGCGTATTTATTAGATATTATAATTTAGCTAACCAGGTACTGATTGTGAACTTTTTGCAATTCATTGAGAATTCCTTTCCAAGTGTAAAGCAGTTGGCTAAAACCTTCACTGACTCGGTTTGCAAAGCCTTTGGTGGAAAATGGAAGGTGTTTTTTTGTTTCTTGGTGGTAATATATGAAATTTTTATTTCTTTATTTATTTGCATAACCTGCTGTTGACTTGTTTCAACAGATCCCAACACCTCCCCTTTCATCAGTGATAGTTTGTGTAAGTGTATGTTTTAATCAAATCTACTTACCAACCAATATTCTGGAATTCTTAATATAAAATAGCACTATTCAGCCAGCAAGTTGCTCTGCATGTAGGAATTAGGTACAAGATAGCCTGCTTGATATGCACCCTTTCCACCATAATAAACATCCACTCGCTTCACCACTGACGTTCAGTAGCGGCAGTGTGCCTTACCTACAAGATGCACTGCAGAAATTCGCCAAGGCATCTTAAACAACGCCTTCCAAACTGATGACCACACCATCTGGAAGGGCAAAGGCATCAGGCACATGGGTCACCACCATGATGATGGTGCAGCTTCCCCTCCACTACCAGCCACATACTTTTATTTTATTCATTTGCAGAATGTGGGCATCTCTGGCTGGGCCAATGTTTATGCCCATCCCTAATTACCCAGAGACAAGTAAGAGTCAACCCCATTGCTGTGGGTCTGCGCTAAGACACAAGTCAAGCAGGATGAGGATGGAAGATCTCTTTCCCTAAAGTACCTTAGTGAATCAGATTGGTTTTCACAACAATCAATGGCAACAGAGTAGCCATTAGGCTACCTTTTAATTCCAGGATTTTATTAGATTCATATTTGGGATTTGAACCCATGTCCATCAGAACATTAACCTGGGATTTGGAATTACTTGCCCAGTGATATTACCGCCACATCATCATCGCCCCATATTCCCATTCCCTTACCTGTGCTAGGTCAAAATCCTGGAGCTCCCTTCCTCCAAGCACTATCCATATCCCAGGAACTGCAGTTGTTCACAAGGAGGCTCATCACATCCTTCTCGAATAATTAGGAATGGGCAATAAATACTGGCCTTGGCAGCGATGCTCACATACGAAGAGTGAAGAAATGTGTGCGCCATGTCAGATCACTTGTCCCAAATAGAGGTGGTGTTCTTGACATGCAGCTAAAGCAGTGCTGAATTTTATTTCACAAATTATAAAAGGGATACAGCAGCTTCTCAACCATCTTTTCTTAGCTATTTCTGGTGCAGAGCCTGCACATAAGTCATAATGCCCATTCTGATGGGAATTGCAATGTATTATTTTACACTGACTTTCAGCAAGATTTTTTAAAAAAAGGAACTGGAAACTTTATGGAATGTTGTGTCTCATGTCCCTGTGAAGTCCCACGCAAAAGCTGATTAACAAGCTTGTCTACTGTCTGTTCCAAACATTGTTAGGTGTCAAGAACATAAGATACCCTTAATAACTTATGGCAGCGGCACGGGTCAGGAATTACAAACGCTCTTCCCTCCTGTTTTCTATCTGTCAGGTTGTCCTCTCTCTCCCCTCTTCCTCCCTCTCTCTCCCCTCTTCCTCCCTCT